TACTCTGTTTAGTTGCAGTAACTAATTTTTTAAGCTCAAGGACTTGGTTGAAATGTAGCCAGCATATGATTTTAAATGACTCAACGATAGTGCGGTAGTTAAAAGTACTGTTGAAAATAGTTATTTTCAGAATTTCTGTAGTAAAATTATCCACTTTTTACTAGTTATAAAAAAATTAAACTTACTATTTTCATATAGTAAAAATAACATAAAAATTGTTACTTTTATGACTTTTGTAGTTATAAAAATAAATGTTTCTTACCACCATAGAGATAAATTATTAAAAGCTAGTAAGAATTGGTTCTTTTAACTACATTATTAAACACAAAAATAACAAATTCCAGCGGTTGTTTTTACTCTTTGGAACAGTAAATTTTAATTTATTTTGCAAATAGCAAGAAATGGATATTTCTACTACTGCACTATTGTTGAGTTGTTCACAATCATAACGTGTAGTAGTAATTTCAACTACATAAAACCAACTATTCAATTTTAGTTCCACTAACTATGGAAGTTTAGTTGAAATGCTGCTGAATATGGTAGTTTTAACTATATTTTTTTAACTGCACATATGTGGATGTTTTTACCACTCACGTTTTTTCTCTGTAAAAAAAATGATCTTTTCAACTGCATAAATAGTAAAAATAACTATTTTCAACAATTGATTTTACTATATGAAAACAGTAAATTTCTTTCTTTTTCTGCAACTAGTAAGAAATTGTTGTTTTAACTACATAAATCATAAAAGTAACAACTTTCAGAGGTTGTATTTACTATATAAAAACAGTAAGTCTCATTTTGTTTGCAACTAATACAAAATAGTTATTTTTGCTACCAGAATAGTAAATAAACTATTTTTAACAATAGTTTTTACTACTACACTATAGTTGAGCCATTTACAAGCATCTGTTAGTTATTTCAACTACGTACAGTAGTAATTTCAACTACATAAAACCAACTAGTTCATTTTGGTTAAACTAACTGAGGAAGTGTAGTTAAAATGCTGCTGAATATGGTAGTTTTAACTACTTTTTTTCCAACTACACAAATGTGGTTGTTTTTACCATTTGCATTTTTTTCTGTGTATAATAATATTTTGAATTACAGTAATTTTATTGTAATTTCTTTTGAATAAAATTAACCTCACAAAATAGGGCAATTTTAAGAAAAACTGACCAAGCCCTGACCAGTTTTTCCCCAAGTAGGTCATTGGTCGGGAACAGCGTCACACACTAATCGGGCACTGGTCAGTTTCCCTACCCAGAGCCACACCAGAGATCGGGAAAACTGTCCAGTACCCTATCAGGCCCACATTTTAATATCTGCACGGGAATATTAACAACCGATGCTTTGGCGAACCCGTTACATCCCAAGCACCAGCTCAATATTGGGAGCCTTTATTGGACCGATGATCGGTCTCTTGGCTCCCAATATATTGGACCGATATTGGACAGGTGAGAAATTTCTCACTGGGTAGATGCTTTGTTTCAATCATTAGTTATGTTTGTTAAAAAAACTGTGTTTGCAGAAAAAGGTGTTGCACTTTTTACAAAATAAATGTGTTCTGATTTCATAAATTTTTGAAGAGCAATATTTTCTGTTATTAAATTTGAACACATTTATTTTGTAAAATGTACAATGCTTATTTTTGCAAACAGAGTTTTGCAGACAAAAATAATTAAAGGTTAAAAAAGCATTTAAATTTGGTTTTTTTTAAATTTAAATCTAAATATTATAAATAGGAAAAAAATTTTAAAACTGTCCAGTTCACGTTCACCTCTACATGCGGTGAAAAGGGGCAACATTGGAAAGAATTTAAACATTTTAATAGCTAAAGAACGTGATTAACGAATTTCAATGGACCGATGAGTTTTTATTTGAAAATTCGTCGTCCATATTGGATCCGCTATTTTGAATTTTGAAAATTGTCCATCACATTCATTATGAGCGAACCAAAAAAACCCCAAGTAAAAAGTTTCAAACGAATCTAATGAGTTTTTGAAAATTTGTCCGCCGTATTGGATCCGACATTATGAATTTTGAAAATTGAATTTCAGATTCATAATTAGCGGCCCCAAAAACGTCCGAGTAACAAGTTTCAAGTGAATCTAATGAGTTTTTAGAAAAATAATCCGCCATATTAAATCCGCCATTTTGAATTTTGAAAATTGAATTTTAGATTCCCAATGGAAAATTTACAACTGGCGTAGTACTGCGCCAGCACTGGCAGCACTGGCGGCAAGGCTGAGAGCCAGCACTGGCTTGACAAATTCATAATTATAAATAATTTAACAAGAAAATGGTAAATAATATTAATAAATAGTTATTATTCATAAAATATTTCTCTTCTTAAAGAAATTCTATTAAAGATGGAGACTAACAATATGGATATAGTAAATGAAGTAGAAAAAAATTGTTTATAACATTTAAAATTTAAATAATAAACAATTACAGTAAGTGTGCATTAGATTTTCATATTTTAGTACCTAACGATTGGAATCTAGAAATATCGCAAACCTTATGAAAATAAACAAAAATGCTGACGAGGGGAATAGAACCTACGACCTACGGACTAACAGACTAACGCTCTAACCACTATGCTAACGACACATGTGTACAGTAAAGTATTAACATCTCAGTATCATTCAGACATACAATTATTGAGTCAAAGATGAGAAAAAAATAGGGATACGTTAGAAATAATAAATTGAAATAAAATAAATTAAACTACATTTTTAATAATTAATTTAAATTACTTTACTGCATTTAACATTTTACGTAATTCTTAAATTACGTGGTAATTTTTTAATAATTTTTTATTCATAGTAAGAAGTATAATAGTATTTTAATAGGAACCAAATTATTATTGAGATTAAAGTTTAAATTTTGTTTATAATTTTAATTTGTTTAAATAATTTATTATTTACAAAATTAGACAATTATGTTAAATTGTTATAATTAAATTTAATAAAAATAAAGAATGAACAACTGAAAAGTAAAATATTAATTTTTTTCAATAAATTTATATTTATAAACATTCATAAACTTTTTTTATAATTTTTTTTCAAGTTTATGTCAAAAAAGCAATGTTGGCAAAGAGCGTCATGAACAATTTTTCTATACTCAGCCAGCACTTGCCGCCGTGGCTTGTCCAAGCTTTGGCGAAACAAAAATTCTGTACTGCGCTAGCACTAATTGTGGAGGCTCGGCTAGACTACGCCGAACAATCGTCTCAGTACTAAGCCAGTGGTGAACATCGGCACTACACTGGCATTTCCCATTAGGTTCATAATTAGCGACCCCAAAAACCCCCGAGTAACAAGTTTCAAGTGAATCTAATGAGTTTTTAGAAAAATTGTCCGCCATATTAAATCCGCCATTTTGAATTGTTAAAATTGGACTTCAGATTCCTGATCAGCGACTCTTAATACCCACGAGTAACAAGTTTCAAGCTGATCTAAACACTTTTAACAATTACGTCCATTCGGGTAAATTCTGCAAAGAAATTTGATCTTCAGACTCCATTTTTGAGCCGCCATTTTAATTTTTAATTTTCTCTATAGTCCTATCTTGTAGCATATATATTTATGTCACGTTATTTGTAACATTTAGCATTATTTTTCTGCTATTTCGTAGAAGAAAAAATTGGGAATTAATCAAAAATTTGAAAAAAATCGGAATTATTTTATAAAAAACATTAATAACTTTTTTGTTTATAAATTTTTCCTTTTGTTTATAACTCTATTCGATAGAGCGCATATGAGAACGATGAGAACATAAGAAATGATGATTGATGAATTTTTCTATTGATTTTTAAGTACCGAAATAAGTCCTCAAACTTCATGCCAAAATTTTGTACATTTAGGCCTTAAAGGGATAAAGTAGAGAAAGTGTAGATTTATGTCGTTTTTGAAATTTTTTTCTAAACATATGAGAAATAGTTTAAATATTCATTTGTTTATTAAATAAACAATTTATTTTGCATAAACAATCAAAGTTAACAAAAATTTTTATTGTAATTCAAAAAGACATAATTTGTCTATATACTCACTAAATTCTATTAAATTTTATTAACAAGGAACAGTGAACAAGCTCTGAGCCAGTATACGAATTCGAGTAAAAACCGTATTGGGACGTTTGACTCAATCTTTTTTTCATCCGCCGAATACGGTCTTATTTTAGCATTAAAATTAAAATCCGATTTTGATTTCGATAAGAAACAGTGAATATTTGTTAAAAATTCGTAAAAGCAAAGTTTGACAAGCGCGACTGAATTTACCATGTGAATAAATGAAGTGGTAAGTTTAAATGGACTAAAAGAAATCTACTGTTACCGACAGAAAGTTCCTAGAGAATTGTAAAACAATGAAATTTCATTGTTTTGTTGAATTTACCACAATTCTGTAGGAACTTTCTGTCGGTAAAAGTAGAAATATTCTTTATTGTTTTATTATTCTGCTGGTAAATATTTAAACAATGTTCTTATGTATAAAAGTCTCGTATTTGTTTTAATGGTGTAATGTTATTATTCGGTACTTATTTGCATTTGGCATTATTGTTATTCATAATGGCAAATTTTTTTAAAAAATAAATTTAGTTTTTAAAAAATCAACCAATGAAAAGGCAGAATTCAGTTGGAATTATAAAGAATATAGAAAGTGGATAAAACGCGTCAAATTAGTGCCTTATTCCTTTATATGGAGAAGGCATTTCTAAGCACGACTGTATCATTTGCGTTTCAAAATTGCCAGGGTGTCGCCAAAAAATTCTTTAAAATTTGCATTTTTCAACAGATTATAACTTACCTCCCCCCCCTTTATTTTCATGAAAAAGTGTTTAATTTTTTACTAGCAAGGAATCAAGACTTTGACTTTTATAATAAAAATATTTAAAAAATTTAATTTTCTTTGCGCAACGTTATCGTAATCGTGATTTATTTGTCATCTTTGTATTTAAACGAAAGAATTTTATCTTGATAAATTGGTTTTATCAAAGTTTAATTAAATGTACAAACAAGTGACCATCATCTGTACTGTTGATGAAATAAGATTTACTTTTTAGTGTACCCTTTTTTAATATTTTTAGTGAAAAATTGATTGAATCATGTTGTTTGTGTCTTTTTCATTATTAGCAGTAATCACTACATTAACAACATTAGTATCAACAGACTCTAGTAATTTGGTAATAAAAACTCTGATATTTATAAATTTATTTGTTAAATGTACACAGTGGAGGATCCAGGGGGGGGGGTGCGGTGTTGAGGTCATGACCATCCCCTTTGGAGTTTATTTTAATTTTTTTAGCACTTTTAAGCAATTACAAACGTTTATTTACAAAATAAATTCAGGCCATATAAGTCAAATGAAAGAAAATTTAATAATTTTAAAACTGAAAAATAATTTCTAAATTACAAATAAATACTTTATCCTAAACTATATTCAAAGTTTAATAATTTTTTCTAATCTATACATGTATTATATAATGTAAAAAATTAAAGATTTATTGTTTTACAAACATGTAAATTTTTATATCAAAGTGTATGAATATTCCCCAAGTGACATTTGACCAAATTTACATGTCTAAACTATTTTTACGAAATGTCAAAATTAATCAAACACAGTTTTAGGTCTTGTAAAATTATATTTTTAAAACATATTATTATTCGATTAATTAAAAATATGTGCATTAGTTAACTTTATAAAATTCAAGTTTTAAAAATGGTTTTTTTTTTAAATTTTTAGTAATTAATTATTATTGAATAAATTATACAAAAAATGTGTATCTTTTAATTATTTTTATTTTTACTTGTGAAAATTTCTTTTAAAAATATTTAAACTAGAAAAATATCTGCCAAATAATTTAAAAAAAAACTGTTTTGCGCGCTTTGTGAGAAAACATTGCGCTGGGCAATGAGATCAAATGTTGTGCAGGGTATAAAAAAAAAGAAATCTTTTTTTATGATTTTTTTTTTGTTGAAAATGTACAGGAGTTGCTCGAAAATAGCTTTACGGTGGACTATGAAACTAATCAATTTCTTCTGGATGGGAAGCCATTTCGATATATTTCTGGAAGTTTTCATTATTTTAGGACACCAAATCAATATTGGCGTGCAATTTTGAAGAAAATGAGAGCTGCCGGATTAAATGCTGTCTCAACGTAGGTATTTTTAAATACTATTTATTTCAGTACGCAGCCTTGTATACTTTTTTATAGTGTAATTTATTTAAATTTTTTTCAAAACACTTAGATACATAGAATGGAGTACTCATGAACCGGAACCAGGTAAATGGATTTGGAAAGATGATGCAAATGTTACTCAATTTATTCAAATTGCAGAAGAAGAAGATTTACTAGTTATATTGAGACCAGGTCCATATATCTGTGCTGAAAGAGATTTAGTAAGAAATTAATAATAAATAATTGTCAGTAAGCTACACGACCCCTACTTTTTTTATGACTTTAATACAACTTTTAACCCGAAAACTACAGTAATTAAAATATTTTTTTTTTATTTTCAATAAACTACTACAATTCTCAACTAGATGCTGCTTCTAGACTGGATTATCCAGGCATCAGGACGTCTAGCTAGAAGCAAGTTTTGTCAGTCTCGGTTACTTACTAAAATATTCCTTTTGTAGGGTGGATTACCTACTTGGCTTTTAAACGTAACGTCGGAAATAAAATTAAGAACAAATGACAGATGTAAGTATTTAAGAAATAATACAGATTTCAATCTTTTTTGCATTAGACAGCCCTAAATGGGGTTTTTAAAAAAAAAAATTGGACAAAAAATACAAGATTTGAATTTTTTGTTAAAAATAAAAATAGCTATTAATTTTTATAAATATTGGTAAATTGTATACTTTATAATTTTATATACATCAATCGATGTATATATAAAATGCGTTTTATGTACATTTTCTTGCCAGAAATATAATGTAGATATATTTGTGACTGTAGTACACTTGCAAAATATTAGTCAAGTCCGTCAAAACACATACAAGAAAAAATTTGGCCTCGCAAGAATTAGTGACATATACGCAAGCAAAATTCTAAAAGAAAAGTATATGTCGGAAATTATTTTCAAGAAATTTTCAGCAATTATTACGTGTGTGGAATTATTACCAGATTCCTATAGCGGAATTTTTCAAAAAATTATTGAAAAATTTCGTTAGGAATTTGCACAAAGTTTGTAAAAAATTCGTTCGCGAAAAAGTGGTAGAAAATTATTGAAAACAATTTACGGCAATTATTACGTGTGAAATTACTACTGGATTCCTAGCGGAATTTTCATAAAAAAATTTTCGTATAACAAACGGAATTTCATTTAGATTTCCGTGCGTGTATAATACGTGTAATATCAAAAAATAATTTTTAATTTCTTTACCCCTTTCTCTATAGCATATATATTTCAACTTTTATCATTGAATTCTGAAAATTTACATATATTATTGTAATTTACATATTTTACAGGGTACATGAAATATGTACAAAGATATTTGGAAACTGTATTGATAAAAATAAAATCACTTCTCAGAGGTAATGGAGGTCCTATCATAATGATACAGGTTAGTATTAATTTAAATGTTTTTTGTACCATTAAACGACTTTCTGAGAAATATATACTGTTCAAATCTGACTAAAATTTTTGATCGACTTACCAAAGTTTCTAATATAGTGTTTGTTTGATTAAACAACTTTCACTTTTAAGATTGTTACACTTGAAAAAATTTTGCCTACACTGAGAGAAAAGAAGGTACACTGCTGTTCATTTGGAGGTTGTGTATCGCAATTCAAATTTGGATCAACTGCGCACTCTAAAGGAGAGTCCAGAATAGAGTCGAAGTCGGTATGAACGCGCTGATATTAACGCGCTCGTCCATATGGAATACATAGGACGAGCGCGTTGTATCAGCGCGTTCATACCGACTTCGACTCTATTCTGGACTCTCCTTAAAGGGGCGTGTAACGCGCCCCTTTAGAGCGCGCTGCTGACTCTTGACTCGTGGGACGCAGTGAGCTCGCATGGTCTCCATAACCTAGGTTATTTGACCATGCGGTCTCACTGCGTCCCACGAGTCAAGAGTGCGCTGTTGATCCAAATTTGAATTGCGATACACAACCTCCAAATGAACAGCAGTGTACCTTCTTTTCTCTCAGTGTACATATATAACTTGTAATAAAAAAGGAATTATATATCTTTCTGCAATAATTAACTATTCATTTTCAGTTGTATTTATTCTTATTGCAAATGATGAATTAAATGTACTTATTAGTAATGATTCTTCTAATATTGGATATTAGAATTTTAGTATGTAATTAAATTTGTATTGTGTTTGACTAATTAGCAAAGAATTATTTTTGTTCTATTCTGTTACAGGTAGAGAATGAGTACGGAAGCTTCAATGCCTGTGATTTTCAATATAAAAATGCACTGAGAGATATATTTTTCAAACATGTAGAATCAAATGCTGTTTTATTTACAACAGATGGACCTCAAGAAACTATGCTTCAATGTGGAATTATTCCTGGTGTTTTTGCAACAATTGATTTTGGACCTTCCACAAATGTATCTAAAAATTTTCAAATTTTGCGTAAATTTCAACCAAAGGTAATTGCTAGTTTAAATTTCTAGTTTAAACTTTTACTAATAATAATCATTCTCTGCCAACACAAAAGTAGTTGTAATGTCATTTGTACCACACTACAATAGTACTCTAGTTACTTTTAATGAAATAGAAAAAGAGTATTGAAAACATTGTGCTACAGCGAGAGAGCAATATTATGTATAATAGAATCTCCCGAAAAGATGAGGTTTTTTCAAATTATTTTTCAAATATTATATTCCATTTATCGCGGTTCTGAAATTCGACGCTGTCGCAATAATTGGCAGGAATAAACATTTCAGATTTACTCATCGTTGTACATTATATATCCTTTTGATTTGACTGTATCTATAGAAACATACATTTATAAAAATGGAAATTCCAAGTTCTTTTTAAACGCGACAATGTTTTTGGAAAAAATCTGCAGTCAATAACGTTCACGCGCAGGTAAGCGGAACAGGATGAATTAGACTGAATCCTTATACGTTTAGTAATTTTTTAAATAGGTTGCGTTTCCAATTAGCTACCTAGCTTCTTGTTCGCAGTTGTAATAGTTTGATGGGTTCCGAATCTTTATTCGGAAATCTTTTCGTTTTTGGGATGTCCTCCGCGTCAAACGAGTAAAACTAACCTTCACATAGTTAACCGCAGTATTATAGTACTGCTTATATACATGTCCATTTGGACATGAGAGACTGCGGTCAATATTTTTTTATATTATGTTTAAAAATAATTTTACCAATTTAATAAAATATATAGTCAGTTAATTTTGAGGCATCATTTCCTGGCAAATGTTTAAAAATGTTACAAGTTTTAATTTTTTTCAAATAATTCAACAATGGTATTTAGTAATATAATATATTTTGTTGCAAAAAACAATTTTTGGAATTCTCATTTTAAACAATCCAAAAAACATTTACATCTACATATTACATTGCCAGGCAAAGTTGCCTCTAGATTGCATTAATATTGCCTTGCAAGGCTTCAAAAGATTAGTATGCGCAATGTTTCCACAGGGCGAAAATAATTAATGTTTAGACAATATTGACACGCGATTGAGCTTAAATTATTTATTGGAATGTAAGTCATGTTGGTGAATCTTATTTGGTAATTTTACTGGTCTGCTATTTAGAGCACATGTTTTACGTGATTTTTAAATAATATTTTTAATATGGATTTAAAATTCTTAGGGACCTCTTGTAAACTCGGAATATTATCCAGGATGGTTAACACACTGGGGAGAGCCTATGCAGAGAGTTTCAACACTGAAAGTAGTAAAAACTTTAGATGAAATATTGTCCATTGGAGCATCAGTAAATATATACATGTTCTTCGGAGGAACAAATTTCGGGTTTAAATCAGGTAGGATTTGCCCCCACCCTATTCAGCAAATAAAGACATTACAAAAAGTTATATTTAGAGTAGAAGGGGGTATGTAGTGCACTTTTCTTTCCAAGACTCCTGTGGTCGAAATTTTCAACCAATTTTGATCAATAAGGACTCGTTAGAAAGACAATGTTTCTAGCTACATTTATGGTGTAAATTATTTTTTTGTAGATGTAGATGGAGCTTTTCTATATCCAAAAAACTAAAGGCACTTTTTTTCGACATTCTAAAATTTGTGGGGCAATGTAGTGCACCACTTTATTAGTCAAATAAAAAGCAGAGAATATAAATTATAAACGATTTTATTTTATTAGATATAATATTAGGAACAGAAGAAACTTGAAAAAAAATAAATTAGTAGTGATGCCCACGAGCCGAGACTTTGCATGTAAAAACCGAGACGAGATCGAGACTTTGCATGATATCATCTCGTCTCGTGGACAGCACTATAAAGTAGAGATTTCTTTGGCCCTGTGTTAAATAAAACTGAAAGAGACCTGCAAAAATTTACAAAAAGAAAATATGTTTAAATAATACATATTTACGGTACTCTGTATAAATAATTGCACTACATTGCCCCCAAGCACTTTCTTCACGTTGACTTCAATATCTCAATAAAAACAAAATTAAGCGTCAAAACAATACTAAATTTGTGTTGAGAAGTAAATTTTACATGGAAAATCACTTTCCTGATACTTTTTTAACGAGCCTTACATTTTTTTCAAGTCACTAAAAAAACGAAAATATGGTTTCGAAATCTAGTGTTTTTAAAGTGACACCCCAACTTCTTTTAAAAGAAGCACAATAAAGCCAAAATGATATACATTACTATAATTTGATATCTTAACCCTACCATACCAACGGCAAGTAATTCAATTCATTCGTTTAGTCAGTAAAGCCAGTGCACTACATTACCCCCCTCTACTCCATATTTTAATTTTTTTAGTAAAGATGAATAGAAAGTTGGTCAAGGTCTCAATTCAAAGCAAATATTTTCTACTTTTATAAATAATATGAAAATAATACATTAATAAAACGAGTTTTTCATTGTTTAAATGCAATTAGCAATGAATTAAATGTTTAATTTTTTTTGGGTAAATTTTAAACAAATGTGGTTTTTTAACAAAGGGTTGGTTTAAGAAAAAATCTTGTAGGACAAAAAGTGTTTTTTTACCATAACCAAAAGTCTTTGACTCAAGGGAGATTCACCAGGGAATTGTAAAATTGCTCAAATATACAATTAAAATATAATTATTACTACACATGTATTGTAATACGCAGGTGCTAATACTGATCCAAACTTTAGACCACAACTGACTTCTTATGATTACGATGCTCCTTTGACGGAAGCTGCAGACGTGACACCAAAGTATTTTGCAATGAGAGATGTTATTAAAAGTGTAAGTAAATGTATGTATTTGCAAAAGTTTTCTTCATATGTGACGCTCCACGAGAAAAGGGACCTTATGACTTACAGACGAGTTTTGCAGGAAAGGCATTTAAAGTGGAACCACTCTCATTGGTCAAGACGTTCCATTGAAAGTCAGCCCCACTACTCACAACACATTGATAGTTATCCATGTTACACGAAGCGCACGAGTTGTTCGTACATAACCTGTGTAGTTGTATTAGAAAGTAGAGGGGCTGATTTTCTAAACATCCGGGTGTAAACACTCAAAAGGTTCATTTTTAAACATTGATAACAAAAAAACCTATAAGTAAAAATTATTTTTGCCTTTTGCATATGAAAGAGCAACTCAAAAAGTACAGAATGATATAAATAACTCAAAATTAATTTTTTTGCAGCTAAGGTCCCTTTTCTCGTGGAGCGTCACATATTTTGTTTGAAACTTTATATTTAGTTTGATATATAAATTTTTATAAAGTGTTCTTTTCAGTTTCTCAAGGCTTATTGATTTTTTATTTCATTATCGTATAATTAAATGTGGACGTCCACATGAAAAGGGCACTATTGAAGTTATCTATATAAGCGTATTTCTGGCAAAATTTGGAAAATTTTGAGTCGTCTTGGAATTTTTTTGGTTAAAAATTCGCCGAGTTACAACTAATAAATTGTTGTATCTCTGGTTCTTCTTGAAAGTTATTCAGATCAGAATCGTTTCCAGTTCAGGGCACCTTGAAGATAAAAAACCAACAGGTTTTAAATTTTCAAAACTATCCCCCCCCCTCTTAGTTTTGAAAATACGAAAAATCGACAATATGGGCCCTTTTTTAAAAAGGAGACGCATGCATTTCCCCTAAACGCCAAGTCGTCGAATGTTCAAATAGTCGAATATACTTTATCACTTTAATCACTTTTTATCTCTCCTTCTGTATAAATCTTTTCAATAACGACACGAAACTAAATTAACAAATTAGATTTAGTTTCGTGTCGACTCAAAACAAAAGATTGAAAATAGTACATTATGCAACAAGGGAGGTAAGTCCGAGTTTTTCAATATTGTGCTAGGTCATAAACTCGGACTTATCTCCTTTGTTGCATACCTTGCTTTATACAACAAAGGCGTATTTTGGTCACTTTATCTACTTGTACAGGCGCGTACCAAGTTCTCCCATATAACCCAGCTGGTCAATAAAGTAACCATTATAGCCCTAGGGAGATAAAGGATACTTTATTGACCTGTGAGCGGTCAATAATGTACCCTTTATCTCCCTAGGGCTATAATGGTTTCTTTATTGACCAGCTGGGTTATAAGGTAAAACTTGGTACGCGCCTGTACAAGTAGATAAAGTGACTATAATACGCCCGAGTTGTATAAACATAATTATTTAGTGTCAATCACAGAAAAATTGTTTCCCGTGACTTACGTAACTATAAGCAACGTAAGTAATTAATTACGTTACTATAGTAACTTACATAATTAAAGGAAGTTACGTATGTCTTTCTATCCCCAAAATTCTATATGTCTTTCCAACTTTTTACTTCCAGTAGGGCTATTATGAAAAAATTAACACAATATCCAAATTTTCAGGCTGGAGTCCCATGATAGCGTTTTGCGTTGCGTTTTGTAACTAAGCTATAAGTGTGAGAGAGATACAGATATATGTTTGCTCTATTTGCACTCATGGCCTAGTTACAAAACGCAACGCAAAACACTACCATGGGACTCCAGCCTCATTTCGATAATTAGGTACAAAAAAAAGACTCCAACATCAATATCTCTGGTTCTTCTGAAAAGTTATTCAGATAAGAATTATTGTTTACAGTCCATCAGGACACGTTAAAGGCCAACGCAGAATAGATCTGTAACCGGAACCGCAATCGTAAGCGTAACCGTAAGAATGAGTTAAAGAAGGATAGGTATATTGTTTATCCTTCTCTAACTCATTCTTACGCTTACGGTTACGATTGCGGTTCCGGTTACAGATCTATTCTGCGTTGGCCTTCAAGATGAAAAATCAACAGGTTTTAAGTTTTTCCACACCTCCATTTTTAAAATATGGATTACTTTTGCAAATGGCCGACAAAATGGTCCCTTTTTATTTTTCTCTCTTCTCTCTCTCTCTATCTTAAAAAAGACATGGAGTGGAAACGTCGAATGTATCGAAAAGTATCAAAGTAAAGAATGGGCAATGAGGATGTAAAATCTTAATAGAAGGGTGTTTTCAAAATTGTTTGGACATGTGAAGGTGGCGCTGCAGTCGTATGTTATTTAAAAAGAGCGCGAATATATAAATTTTATTTTTGTTAAGAGAAAGTACTCATAATAAATCTTATTTTGCATTGTCGAAAAAAACGTCAACATTTCAAATATAAATAAGCAAATTATTAACTGAAAAAATTTGAATATTATTATTAATGAAATAATGGACTTGGACAATGGACATATAAAAACTAGCACCGTAGACGGCCGCTTGCGGCCGTCGGAGGAGCTAGTTTTTCTAAAGAAACAATGAAATCAAACAGTTAAATTATCTATAAATTAATGGAAACCGCATGATTCGACTTGTCAAAACATGTAGATTGATGATAAAAAATTTTTTAAAATTAAGATTTTGCTCCAAAATTACTAAATTGAAAAAATCTCGAAAACAAGAACCGACAATATGTGACCGGGTCTGAGAAAAGGGACCTACTTACCAAAAAATCGATTTTTTTATGATGGTTTCTTATAGTTTAAGGTCCTAGAAATACAATGCAATTAGTCCCGATTGTTAAAAAAAATTTTTTGCAATTGTTTAAACCAAAAAAAAAAATTTTTTTTAAATTTTTTTTATGAAAATATACAACTAATTTTAAGACAAAAATTACTCTTGGTTGTCAAAGTGTCAAGAATATTTCCCCTAAATCTTAAATTGAATGCCTAAACCATTTACAAAAAATTCGACTTAATTCCTCAAAGATAATCCCCAAGTATACCCGTCATCGGCAACCTGGTCGTGCAAGTCAAAAAAAAAAACTATGGATTATTGTAGAGTTCAGAATTATTCATTATTGTATCAGTTCTGAACTTGCATAAAAAATTTCAGACCTCTGGGACATCCAAAAGTCTTTTAAATTAATTTTGAAAATTCCATAATTTGACTTTTGCAAAGTAAACTGTTTATAACAATTACAGGGTTGTTTGAACAATTATTTAACCATAAAAATCGGATTCAGCATAAAAAAATACATAAAGAACACTCATCATGTTAATTTAAATGTAAAATGTTTCAAGAAATCCAATTTATTTGGATAGAAAACTTTAAACGCGTTTTTCTCGAAAAGTTAATTTTGGTAAGTGGTCCCTTTTCTCAGACCCGGTCACATATGAGCCCTTTTCATGTGGACGTTCACAAATAGTCTTAAAAATTTTTGTAGATTTTTAACTTGCTTGTTCAGATGCAAAGAAAAGCTCGGGATGAGGGGGAAAGTAAGATCGTGTTGTTACTTTCTGGGCACAGGAAATTTATACAGCTGCGGTGAAAGTCATTACGCCAATGATATAAGAATTATTATAATTTTATTTAAACACTTTGGAATAAATAATTTTCATGTTTTCTAAATTAAAAATGTGGGGTTATAATTTTTAAATATTTTAAAAGTTTGTAGGTATAATATAAATTTGTTTGTTTTAGTACATGCCCTTGGAAGATTTGCCTATTCCTGCTGGAAATAAAAAGAAAAATTATGGTATTACTGTTCTGGAATCCGTGATAAATCTTTTTGATCCTGTCGCAAAATCTTTATTCGGCACAATAGTTGTACAAACCAATAAAATTCCAAATTTTGAGGAATTACAAATTCTGCCCTTGCAGTTGGTTCTATTCGAAACACAGTTGCCCTTAAAAAACGAAACATCCACAATTTTAAAGACACATGTACACGACAGATGTTATGTTTACATAAATCGTCAGTTAACTGGAATATTAAGTCGCATGGACAGAAAATTCGATTTGACTATACATAACCCCTATGGGAAACATTTAACACTACTTGTTTCAAATGAAGGACATGTAAATTACGGAGAAAACATTAAGGACTATAAGGTATTGATCAAGTAAATAGTTTCTTTTCAAATAACTTCTTTTTTAATACCGTAAACTGGGGCTATTAGGAACAAAATTCTGTTTTCGGGTGGAGTTGATGCTATCGGCGCCGTTTATCGATAAATTGTGTTACTTGCTTTTGAAAAATTGTTGCTGCGGTAACTGGCAACACTTTTCAATGCAATAATTGTGATTATTAAATATTTTGTGAACAATAGTAGGTTGCAAGTGACTTAATGTGTTTTAGTGAAGTTTCAAACGTGGAAAACATTTGATTGCTGATGTACGTTGTTTCATTTTTAACATCTCAAAGTGATTGTTTTTTATTGATAGGATTTCTTATGGTAAACTTTATTGAGTTCACTAAGTAATAAGTACGTTTATTTTGTATTTACAGTAAGATTTTAGAAACAAAAACCAAAATTCACAAACGGCGGGTATATAAAAAACACAATTATTTCTTCCGAATTGTTAAAGTGTGTTGCAAAACGTAAGTTTTTCGTAATTTCTTTTGTTTTTTATCACCTAATTTGGTTTTTAGTGTTCAAAGATGGTTCGAAATTGTAAATTTACAAAGAGTGTTGGTACCGACAAGTCGCAAAAAGAGACTTAGTGATTCCATCATCGACCTCTACTATGATACCAGCAACGTTTAAAACACACATTAGTAGTATAGCTAGGCCGGTTCTGGATAAAATCGGTAATGTAGATTCCTACTTACCGACCGCGAGGGTAAGTTACCGACCGTTGGTAGGGTATATGTGGGTAAGTTACCGACCGTTGGTGGGGTATAAGTTTCTGTCGTTAGATGGCGTTTCTTAGAAGGGTATAATTTGCATATATTTAAATTAGTTAACCCTTTTAATTTGCATATATTCAAGTTAGTTAACCCTTTTAATTTCCATATATTTAAATATGTGGTAAAGTTACTATGCGTTGGTAGGGTACCTGATTTGCATATATTTAAATTAGTTAACCCTTTTAATTTGCATATATTTAAATATATAGAAAAGTTACAGAGCGTTGGTGGGGTATCTGATTTGCATATGTAAATTAGTTAACCCTTTTAATTTGCATACGTTTTCTATTGTTTATTATTTAACTTTCATTGTTAACCCTTTTAGTTTATGGAAATTCCACCCACTATCCACCCTTTTGGACGTAGAATATGCAAATACCACCCCCTCCCACCACCCACTCACCTATGTATTAGTTAACCATCCCCCACCCACCCACTTTTTTTCTTTATATATATATTTTCAATATTACCACCCACCACCACCCACTTAGTATAAACCAGAAATTTCAAAAATCGTATAGAGAAGCGCGAGGGATTAAGCGTTCGCGAGATACCGCGCAGGCGTTGTGGGTAGTGGGAGTGGGTGGTGGTAAGGCCCAGTGCGCAGCAAATGTGCGCGTACGGTTACCGCGTTGAGTGAGTGAAAGTTTCATGCGTCAGACCTGTCTACCTGACTCTTGCAGCATGCTTCACTGGTACTACAGCACCATGGGGATAAATGTATTGTCTAAATATATGTAAGCAAGTTTCAACTTGTCTTTTTCTAAGATAACAATAGTATTTTTTGAATATCTTTAAACAAGTTTCAACCTGCATCTTGAATAGAATAAAGACATTGTCTAAAAAACCTTCAGACAGGTTTTAACTTGCCTGTAAATTTTGCAGCTACCTGTTAACCCCATCATAAAAATAGATATTTCAACCTGCATCTTGAATAGAATAAAGACATTGTATAAGAAACCTTCAGACAGATTTTAACATGCCTATAAATTTTGCAGCTACCTATGAACCCTATCATAAAAATAAATGTTTTAACCTGCATCTTAAATAGAATAAAGACATTGTCTAAGAAACCTTTGGACAGATTTTAACATACCTATAAATTTTACAGCTACCTGTGAACCCTATCATAAAAATAGTTGAAACTTTCTAATTTTTTTTACAAAGTTTAAATATATAGGGGAGGGTTCGAAAAAGAAATAGAAAATTTTTAAACTCTCTTTTCCTCTTCAAGCTGTGTGCGGAACAAACATTTTGTAGCTACCTGTGAGCCCTATCATAAAAATAGTTGAAACTTTCTAATTTTTCACAATCTTTAAATATGTTGGGGGAAGTAAATTTTTTAGAAATTCTTCCGGATATACCTTAAGTCTACGTATCATTGTGAAAACTGTGCTCTTCATGAGAAACTGTTCTTTTCAATTTTACAGCTACCTGTGAACCCTATCATAAAAATATTTGAAACTTTCAAAAATTTTTTTTACAGACTTTAAATATGTTGGTGGGTGGTTGGGGTGGGGTGGGGGTAATTTTTTGGAAATTTTTCCGGATATGCTTTGAGTCTACCTATCATTGTGAAAACTGTTCTCTTCGTGAAAACTGTTCTTTTCGTTAAAAGTGTTCTCGTAGTGAAAATAGTAGTTCCAGCGTAAAATATATTGAAGAATATTATTAAAAACTAATTAATATTATTAAAACTGTTCTCTTCGTGAAAACTATTCTTTTCATTAAAAGTGTTCTTGTAGTGAAAATAGTAGTTCCAGTGTAAAATATATTGAAGAATATTATTTTCATAATAAAAAGATAGTGAAGATTATTATTTTTACAATAAAACAATAAGAATCAATTGATATTATAACATGGTACGTATTTTTGTTTAATATTTTGAAATCAAATTTAAAAAGTTAATATATGTTTTATTTTAATAATAATACAAATATTGTTTATTCACAGAAAATTATATTCAAACCTGGAGGTGTTACAGTTTTTAAAATGTTTGAGGATCCTAGGAAAAATACCCTTGAAAGAATATGCAACTTAAAAACAATTGATCCGGAGGTTTGGAAAAAAAATAAAGAAGAAGATCCCTGGAAACAGATTCAGTGGAAGACGTTTGTCCAAGGGTTTCATCAACTCACTTTTTTATGTAAGTATTTTAAACTATGTATGTATTATATTATCAATTTTTTTTAAATTATTAACACGGAATTTATTATTATCATGTTTCAGATTAGAAGGTTTCTTTACAACAATCAGCAGATCAACGCCTGCAAGGTTCTCTTTCCTTCTCGCATTAACGTCACGGAAGAAGTAGACTTAGCGGTGGACAACATTTTTTTCTTTTGCTTCTTTGTTTCAGCTTCTGCTTCTTTGTTTCAGTATATATATTTTTTTTTATTAAGTTATCATGGCTCAACGAAAATCCAACAATCATATAGTCAAGCCATACGCAAGAGTAGTCGAAAGAGTAGATGAAAGAGTAGAGGGAAGAGTATTATCATCTCAAGACAGCGTTGATGAAATTTGTGAGGTCTCACAAACTTTCATTGACAAAATCCAGGTTGAATTGAGATCTATTGTATCTAAAGAAGTCAATGCTCGTTTGAAAATAGCTTCTGAGTGGCATAAAAAGTGTAAGGCACACTTTGCTATATTATCAAAGTTCGCTAAACGTTACAAAATTCAGGGTTCTCATAATAATAAAAGAATTAATAGTTTGCTAAAACAACTTAAATTTTATGAAGGCCAGTTAGATAATATTATAGAAATTGTACAAACTAACAAACATGGAGCTGGATTAGATAACTCAAATGAAAAAATTAAATGGGTAGTTACTAACAGGGCTTTTAACAATAGACTTCAAGATGGAAGTATTATGAATATTTCACATTTAGATGTCAATGAGTTCTTAGATGATGCTTATTCAGTTTTTAAAGATCAGGTAGAACGAGCATTAAGAGATGGTCCATTAAAAGTATACACAGTTTTTGTTGCTATGTATAAGCAAGTTCTACCTGATAATACTACAGTTTTTGATACAAAAACCTTCATTGCTAGTACGAAAGAAATTTTTCCTACAACTCCTTTAGATGTTTTGTATAATGAAAATTTTAAACAAGTAACGCTTCGCCTTTGTAAAGATTTTGAAGAAAAAGATTCCAATTGGCGACTTGATTCAATTCAAAGATTAGATGTAAATTTTAATAGATACAATCCCATGAAGGCTGGCTCTTTTATAGATTTACCTCAGTTTATTCAACGAAAAAAAGCTTGCATTAATGTTCGGAACAATGATAATGAATGCTTCAAGTGGTCGATACTTCCCGCGCTCTATCCACCTCATAGTAATCCCAATTATATTAAAAATTATATACAATATAAAAATGTTTTAAATTTTAAGGGAATTAACTTCCCCGTTTCTGTTTCTAATATTTCAAAATTTGAAAAACAAAACCCTATTTCTATTAATGTATATGGTCTTGAAATTCCTAAAGGAAACAAACGTTCAAAGAATGATGAATTTAATGTAGTTCCACTACATATAACTTCAATCAAAAAAGAAAAGCATGTTAATCTTTTATTAATTCAAGACAATTACAATAATCATGAGGTGGATAAAGCAAAAACTAAGTATCATTATGTTTGGATTAGAAATTTATCACGACTTGTTAGCTCTCAGTTATCACAAAAGGAACATAAGAAGTATATTTGCGATCGCTGTTTGCATTATTTTCATAGTCAAGATAAACTTTCTACACATACTTTAACTTGTTCCCTTTTAAATAAAACGAAAATTATTTTACCACAACCAGAAAAAAATAAACTCGAATTTAAAAATATTTTAAATAAGGAGCGTGCTCCATTTATCATATATGCAGACTGCGAAAGCTTATTACTTCCTAAAACACATTCTTCATCTGTGGGAGGTAATACAGAAATTATTCAAAACCATAAACTTTTAAGTATTGGATATTATCTCAAATGTAGTGAACAAAGATGTAACAATACAAAATCCATCTACAAAGCATCTCCCATTGATGAAGAAAATGCAGCGAAATGGTTTGCTCGTGAATTGAAACAAGTTGCTGAGAGACTTGAGCCTATATTTAAAACTATCATTCCGATGGAAGTTTTAAGTGATAAGCAAGAGTATTTTTTTCAAATAATTAATGAATGTCACATTTGTAAAAAATTTATTAGTCAGGGAGATACTAAGGTTAGAGACCAGTTATTAACACGCAAAGGAATTTTTCC